GGGGGGGGGGGGGGGGAGGCAATTAATTTCTCATTTGTTCTCTTTGAGTTAGCGTTTGGACATAGATTTGGTTGAAATTTAAAAAAATAATTTTTAAAGTAGTTTTGAAAAATAATTACTAAAAGTTGAAATTATGTTTGGATATACATTAAATTTGAAAAAAAATTGAAGTTTTGTGCGTGGGAGAAAATATTTCACCCAAAAACTACCCTAAACTAGATTTGGAAATTTGAAAAATAATTTCAGAAATTTTTCAAAAACAGATCACTAAACTATGAACAACAATAAACCAGTTAAAAGATAATTAAAATCTTTTTTCAACAAGTAAGCAGATAATTGACAGGCAATTAAGGAAAAATAAACACGTAAAGGTTCGCCCCTCGGGCACTATATCAACAAAAATGCCTCTCGAGCAACATCTAAGAACAATACCAGCCCCTCTTTTCAAAAAAAAAAAAATTGAAAAAAAGTTGCCAAAATGTATGGCCAAACGGAAGCTAAAATTCTTTAGGTTTAGCTCACAGCCTATTCTACTAAGCTGCTTTTATTTTATTTCCAAATATATATATATTGATGGATTCTACCCAAATCTTTGAATTTGAATATCAACTTTAAGTGATAAGGTAAGTACCTACTTCTTTGGCTGTAAACGATAAACGTAGCTGAATTTGGATTCCAAACGATCTTTTCCATCCTTAGAAGGAGTCTTACTTATCATTGTCATTTCATTTAAGTGGTATTTTATAAAAAGATATTCAAAAAATTAGGTCAATTGAAAATTATTGCACGTATTCCTACATAAAAACACTAATTGATAATAACATAAAATACAGTAATCTGTTATAACAAGATAAATTACATCGATCTATATCTACACAGACCTTTACACAAAATTACATTAATTTTTCGTGGGCAACCAATAAATTGAAGTAAGAGTACATTATGTTCCGGACCCTGTAAAATACTACCGTAATCGTACCGGATCATTCGAAAATGCACTAATTTTGAAGGATTCTACACACACCCGACGATATTTTCGGAGAGTCCGAACAACATGGAGAGTACATGTATATTAATTAATTATCATAGTTAAGTGTATAAATAAACTTATCCTATACCCATTTCAACATACATATAATGTGTATTACTAAATACTTAAGCCCCCGTTTGGCCATAAATTTTGTTAATTTTTTTTGGCAAATACTTGTTTGTTTATAAATTTTATTCATATTTTGACAAATTTCCAAATCTCAAAACCAGCTCAAGAGCTATTTTTGGCCCAAAATATTAACAATTTAATTTTTTTTTTTTTTAAAAACAAAAACTGCACCAACCTTATGTATCTTTTAAAAAAAACCCAATTTCTGTTATTATGACCCAATTAATCCATATTTACCCATTTTTTTCTCATTAAACTCGTGTGGCTTTGCTCTTCTCTATAAACATAAGAAAACCTTCGCCAAAGTTGTTGTGGCAATATGTGGCAATCCACCGCAAAGACAAAATTTGAAGGTAATTTGCTAATGTTTGTAGAAATTTCTTCAGATTTGTTTCGCTTGTTTTGTATGAATTTTCTTCATATTTGTTTCGCTTGTTTTGTATAAATTTTTTCAGAGTTGTTGGATAATTTTATTAACTTTTAAAACTTACGAGAATAAGTCACATTTTATATTATTTTTTTTTTAAAAAAAAAGAAATATATTTTGAAAAATTATGTCAAATTTTTTTATCTTCAAATCAAGCTTCACCCAAATCAAATTTTGTAAAATAGATTTGGTAATCTATGGCCAAAAACTAGCTTATAGACATTGAAATATGTGAATAGGTTTGAACTTCATTTTCATACTACTACCTTTTTTCTTCCTTTTGCAGTTCTTTATATGACAACTTTTCAACCATATGGCAAAATCCTGGATTTTCTCTCCCTCTCATTTTCACTCTTTTAAAAGCCTTTCCGTTATATCTTTTTCCCTTAGTTAATTTCCATTGTCTTCTCCCTCCTTCCTTCCTTCACCCCCACCCCCC